GGACCTCTGGAACATTCACAGTCTGAAGGTAGAACTCTGGTCAGTAGATAAAGGTGCTGCAGATACAGAACCAGGTGCTCTGAGGCGGTTCTGGAGGAACTCTGATCATTAGATAAAGGTTCTGGAGCTGAAGCTGTGTTTGGTCTGCGTGCTGTGAGTGCGTTGAGTCGATCGTCTGACCTGTTGCAGTCGCTGCACAGAGACGTGAGGAAGACAGAGAGGAGGACGAGGAGGACGAAGACGCCGACGAGTCCAGGAGACAGGAACCACGACCCGCTGACCTCTGCTCCGAACGCAGCCATGATCCTGACACAACACAGTGATCGATGAGTTCAGATTGATCCAGTTGATTCAGGACGAGTCTGAAACCAGCATGAGGTCTGATTATTTACTGTTTCAGTCTAGAAGCACTGATTCATCGGTTCTGTTGCTCCGGCCCGACCCGACCCACAGCTCTGAGACATAAACCATACATCACAACGTTTGATAGGTCGAGGGTCCGATCCTCAGTCTGCTGCTGCACTGAAAAGGAGGGAATCACCATAGCAACCAGTGACTGACAGCTGATTGGCTGACTGATCCTGGACTGAGAACAGAGGACTACAAACATGGCCGCCTCCGTCAGCAGCGTGTAACGCTGTAGTGGTTCTGTCAGCAGAACAAACCCAACAGCTGCTCCTCTGTTACTGATAGCATCAACAACTGGTTCTACCATGTTCTAACTGGTACTAACAGGTTCTAACAGGTTCCAACAGCTTGCAACAGGTTCTAACGTGACCCAGACCAACATCGATCGGAGTGTTCAGTGGCTCATATTTCAAACTTCAGAATAAGAGCCTCTCCAGGTGACGCTAAGTTTAGCATCTTTAGCAGCTGCTTGTCGTTTATTTTCTGTCTAAAGGAACAAAACAATTACAAGGTTACAGGAAGTTCATGTGTGTCGGATTTTCAAAGTAAAAGCCCTCAAATAACTGCATCAAGGTGCACAACGCTATCAAAATAAAAGCTGTGAAACGTTGGTGGACGTTATTTACAGTGTCAGTGTTTTTGTTTACTATGTAAACAACATGTGTCATGTGACTTCACAGTGATCATCTGGATCAAATAAACCAAAAGAATGAAAAGAACAATAAATTAAACGCTTCATTTTTTACAGTGTGTTGGAGCTGCTGATTAAATATTTGCCTCCAGCGTTCCTTCAGGGCCCGTCAGAACCACTCCTGCTGAAACAACAGCTGCTGCTCACAGGGAACCATGTGACACCTGGTAAATACAGAACCTGTGTGTTCTCAGCTTCATCAAGCAGAGCAGAACCTTTGTTCTTTACCTCGATGGGTCGGTTTCAGCGAAGCGACGACTGAAGCTGCAGCTGGATCATCCTGACGGAGTCCTGGAACAACAACCCAGAGTTCTATGAGCGTTGATAACTGGTTCTATAA